GTGCACAGTTCCGTGCTCTCTGGCTTATACAGGGCAGGAGACGCGTGGCTGACACAGGTGCAGAAGCAATTTTGGCGTCAAAAGGAATAAAAGCTCTCGACCCCAAAGAAATTTTTTCACCACCCTATCACAAAGAGTAAGTCTACCAGCCTGCATCCTGAAAATTGCCTGGAGGGAAAGTGGATTATGCTCATAAATTGATGATAGTGGTATCCTGTAAAACAGCCATTAAATGATACAGAGTGACAAATATCCGTATTTATGCCACATGGGAAACTATATCGAGGAATTGATGTTTGCCTTTTCCAGAAGGAAGATGGTAGACCTTCCACCTCTGCCAGGTCAGCAGGTGATGGAACCCAACGAACAGCCATGCTATGTCTTTAACAACATGTTTTCTCCAGTAGCAGTTGTACCTCAGGTACAGCTTCTAACCAACTCCATTGTGCAGACATCCCTGCCTGATTCCATCTTGGGAAATGCTGTTGACAACACTGCTGAGGAGGATGAAAGAGTTAAGGAGTACGTGGCTTGTGAATTCATTATTTTGAGTGTTACTTATGATGATGTTCAGCTCTTATCAGACAAACTGTAGTTTATAGTGTTGAGAGGGAAAAAAGAATTGATGTTTATTTCTCTTTCTTTCTTTCTTATTATTATGAATTTCATATTTATATTTTAAGAAGATGTTTTACATAATCATTTATTGATATTTATGGGTTTCAGTATTATATTGAAATTTGCATTCAGGTTTCCTCAACAGATGCATATTCATTTTTTAGAAAGGAAAATGTCAAGCCATTATCCACAAGGACATATATATTGTATTTAGTAATAGATCATGTAATCATGTAATCTTGTGGATAACGGCTTGACAATTCCTTTTTAAAAAATTAATATGCATCTGTTAAAGGAAACCTGAAGGCAAATTTCAATATAATACTGAAACCCATGAATATCAATAAATAATTATGTAAAACATTGTCTTATAATGATAATATATGATGATTGTGAGAGTTACAAACATATACAGAATAATAAAAATAAAGTAATAATGTAAGAATATAAAAGCTAGGTCTTAAAAGCAAATATGATGAGGCAAACAAGTCAGTAAAGAAAGATGTGAGATATTTCCATCATCTTGCCATAACCAGTCTGAGCAAAACCAAGGTAGCAGTTGCCATCATAGTATCGTTATTCTTCCGCAACAGAGCCATCTTACATGCACACCTCCTAGACTCATACCAGGAGAAGTTGCCAAGGGTGCTGGACGTGATTAATAACCCAGGCTGGAAGTTCAAGAGAGAGTATGGGATTCCCTTGAAGAGAAAGAAGTGAGTCAAGTGATATTGATTTTACTTTTGGGTACTTTTGCATAGATACACTGCAGCGTTAGTGAGTAGGAAGACGATAGAGTGAGTGAGTGAGTGCATGCGTACGTGCGTGCGTACGTGCACGTGTGTGTGTGTGCATGCGTGCGTGCGTGCGTGCGTGCGTGCATTTGTGCGTGTGTCTGTCTGTCTGTCTGTCTGTCTGTCTGTCTGTCTGTGTCTGTCTGTCTGTCTGTGTCTGTCTGTCTGTCTGTCTGTCTGTCTGTGTGTGTGTGTGTGTGTGTGTGTTGGTGTGTGTGTGTGTGTGTGGTGTGTGTGTGTGTGGTGTGTGTGTGTGTGTGTGTGTGTCTGTGTCTGTGTCTGTATATGAGAGAGTGTCACTGTGTTGATAATTAGCATTAACTCTCTTGGTAATACATCCCCTTTTTGGCAGGGGCAATGATTATCATTAACCTTTTTACCTTCTTTATTATCAGGAAATTTTGATTGATCAAGATAGCAAACACATAAATTCCACTAATCACAGAATTACCAGTAGTAGTAGTCAGTGGACATTGTACTCATCTAATGCAATTGAAATTTACAGTAAGAGCCTGACATACCAACTGCTGCTGCTGCTCGACCAGATCTTTCCCGAAGGCGCATCTCGTCACCTGGTGGAGGACACGCTGACACAGGTCACACTCAACCACGCAGGTGCTAAACTATGGTGTATTTTTTTCAGTTTAGTGTATGGCCTTTCTCCTTTTTTTATTCATTATTATTTTCTCAAAAATAATTTTTGTAGAATTACATGGTTTGAAAATTTAACCACTGCTTCATATTGTGTATGAATAGTGTAATAAGATATAGAAAGGTTTGCAATATTAAATGTTTGCAGAAGTAGAATAAGTATATTTAGCTTCTCATCTTTTTCCTTCAAACTTTCTCGTTCAATGTTAAGGTTGATGTGAAAACTAGTAAATCCATATTCTGCATTCTATTAGAATTTTACATCAAAATTTAATCTTATTGCCTGATATCTAAAATCTAATATTGTCTTTTTGAAAGGAAAATTTCTGTCATTAATGACAGCCAATTTGAATTATATGCCTCTCTAAATATGCATAATTTAAGATCAGGTTATTATTACTTTCTAACCCTCTTTTCACTTACATCTATTAAATCTG